TTAGGACACTTGCTAATCCACTTAACTAGGTAGCTGTCACTTTACTAATTAGGGTAATGCCATTTACACTTGCTAATTACCGTAATTAAGTCACTTTCACCGCATAATTAGGTCACGACACATGCTCACTACGTCCACAAATAAGATGGGAAGCGGCAAACCCTCAGGGGCTCAGCTCTCCCACACAAGACAGGTACCTAATAGCCTCCACGCAGTCAGAGTTATATATATAAATTATATATACACATATATACACAACATATACCCTCATATATATATATATAAACAGACATACTTATCACATGGTTTATCACGGTATATATAGTGGTTTAATTGGTTTTTCTTGGGTAAAACACTGTTAATTTTGGTTTATTTCGTCTTGTGAGATGATGACCTCAGTGTTCTGGTCCAGGGAGGGTAGGTACCCTGGGTAGGTGCCCTGGGTAGGTACCCTGGGTAGGTACCCTGGGTAGGTGCCCTGGGTAGGTACCCTGGGTAGGTACCCTGGGTACGTGCCCTGGGTAGGTGCCTTGGGTTGGTACCCTGGGTAGGTACCCTGGGTAGGTGCCCTGGGTACATGCCCTGGGTACGTGCCCTGGGTAGGTACCCTGGGTACGTGCCCTGGGTAGGTGCCTTGGGTTGGTACCCTGGGTAGGTACCCTGGGTAGGTGCCCTGGGTAGGTGCCCTGGGTACGTGCCCTGGGTACGTGCCCTGGGTACGTGCCTTGGGTAGGTACCCTGGGTACGTGCCCTGGGTAGGTGCCCTGGGTAGGTACCCTGGGTACGTGCCCTGGGTACGTGCCCTGGGTAGGTACCCTGGGTACGTGCCCTGGGTAGGTACCCTGGGTAGGTACCCTGGGTAGGTACCCTGGGTACGTGCCCTGGGTACGTGCCCTGGGTAGGTGCCCTGGGTAGGTACCCTGAGTACGTGCCCTGGGTAGGTACCCTGGGTAGGTGCCCTGGGTAGGTAACCTGGGTACGTACCCTGGGTAGGTGCCCTGGGTAGGTGCCCTGGGTAGGTGCCCTGGTAGGTGCCCTGGGTACGTGCCCTGGGTACGTGCCCTGGGTACGTGCCCTGGGTAGGTACCTTGGGTAGGTACCCTGGGTAGGTGCCCTGGGTAGGTGCCCCGGGTACGTACCCTGGGTACGTGCCCTGGGTACGTGCCCTGGGTAGGTACCCTGGGTAGGTGCCCTTGGTAGATACCCTGGGTACGTGCCCTGGGTAGGTACCCTGAGTACATGCCCTGGGTAGGTACCCTGGGTACGTGCCCTGGGTAGGTACTCTGGGTACGTGGCCTGGGTAGGTACCCCGGGTACGTGCCCTGGGTAGGTACCCTGGGTACGTGCCCTGGGTAAGTACCCTGACTACGTGCAGTGGGTAGGTACCCTGGCTACGTGACCTGGGTAGGTGCCCAGTTGGCACTAAACACTTAGGGGCTACACTGGTTTGCAATAGACAGCTGATACACGAGTGTTTTTGGGCAGGGTCACGTGACACGTGATGGTGGTGGTAGTTGTTGTAGTTAACTACCAGCAGTGATGGTGATAGTTGTTGTAGTCAGCTACCAGCAGTGATGGTGGTGGTAGTTGTTGTAGTCAACTACCAGCAGAGATGGTGGTGGTAGTTGTTGTAGTTAACTACCAGCAGTGATGGTGGTGGTAGTTGTTGTAGTTAACTACCAGCAGTGATGGTGGTGGTAGTTGTTGTAGTCAGCTACCAGCAGTGATGTGGTGGTAGTTGTTTGTAGTTAACTACCAGCAGTGATGATGGTGGTAGTTGTGTTGTAGTTAACTACCAGCATGTGATGGTGGTGGTAGTTGTTGTAGTTAACTACCAGCAGTGATGGTGGTGGTAGTTGTTGTAGTTAACTACCAGCAGTGATGGTGGTGGTAGTTGTTGTAGTTAACTACCAGCAGTGATGGTGGTGGTAGTTGTTGTAGTTAACTACCAGCAGTGATGGTGGTGGTAGTTGTTGTAGTCAGCTACCAGCAGTGATGGTGGTGGTAGTTGTTGTAGTTAACTACCAGCAGTGATGGTGGTGGTAGTTGTTGTAGTCAGCTACCAGCAGTGATGGTGGTGGTAGTTGTTGTAGTCAACTACCAGCAGTGATGGTGGTGGTAGTTGTTGTAGTTAACTACCAGCAGTGATGATGGTAGTTGTTGTAGTTAACTACCAGCAGTGATGGTGGTGGTAGTTGCTGTAGTTAACTACCAGCAGTGATGATGGTGGTAGTTGTTGTAGTTAACTACCAGCAGTGATGGTGGTGGTAGTTGTTTAGTTAACTACCAGCAGTGATGGTGTGGTGGTAGTGTTGTAGTTAACTACCAGCAGTGATGGTGGTGGTAGTTGTTGTAGTTAACTACCAGCAGTGATGGTGGTGGTAGTTGTTGTAGTTAACTACCAGCAGTGATGGTGGTGGTAGTTGTTGTAGTTAACTACCAGCAGTGATGATGGTGGTAGTTGCTGTAGTTAACTACCAGCAGTGATGATGGTGGTAGTTGCTGTAGTTAACTACCAGCAGTGATGGTGGTGGTAGTTGTTGTAGTCAGCTACCAGCAGTGATGGTGGTGGTAGTTGTTGTAGTTAACTACCAGCAGTGGTGGTGGTGGTAGTTGTTGTAGTTGTCAACTACCAGCAGTGGTGGTGGTGGAGGTAGTTGTTGTTGTTGTAGCCAACTACCAGCAGTGGTGGTGGTGGTGGTGGTAGTTGTTGTAGTCAGCTACCAGCAGTGATGGTGGTGGTAGTTGTTGTAGTTAACTACCAGCAGTGGTGGTGGTGGTAGTTGTTGTAGTCAGCTACCAGCAGTGATGGTGGTGGTAGTTGTTGTAGTCAGCTACCAGCAGTGGTGGTGGTGGTGGTAGTTGTAGTCAACTACCAGCAGTGATGATGGTGGTAGTTGTTGTAGTTAACTACCAGCAGTGATGATGGTGGTAGTTGTTGTAGTTAACTACCAGCAGTGATGGTGGTGGTAGTTGTTGTAGTCAGCTACCAGCAGTGATGGTGGTGGTAGTTGTTGTAGCCAGCTACCAGCAGTGATGGTGGTGGTAGTTGTTGTAGTTGTCAACTACCAGCAGTGGTGGTGGTGGAGGTAGTTGTTGTTGTAGCCAACTACCAGCAGTGGTGGTGGTGGTGGTGGTAGATGTTGTAGTTGTCAACTACCAGCAGTGGTGGTAGTTGTTGTAGTAGTCAACTACCAGCAGTGGTGGTAGTTGTTGTAATAGTCAACTACCAGCAGTGGTGGTAGTTGTTGTAGTAGTCAACTACCAGCAGTGGTGGTAGTTGTTGTAGTAGTCAACTACCAGCAGTGGTGGTGGTGGTAGTTGTTGTAGTCAGCTACCAGCAGTGATTGTGGTAGTTGTAGTCAGCTACCAGCAGTGATGGTGGTAGTTGTTGTAGTCAGTTACCAGCAGTGATGGTGGTGGTAGTTGTTGTAGTCAGCTACCAGCAGTGACGGTGGTGGTAGTTGTTGTAGTTAACTACCAGCAGTGATGGTGGTGGTAGTTGTTGTCAGCTACCAGCAGTGATGGTGGTTTTGTTGTTGTAGTCAACTACCAGCAGTGATGGTGGTGGTAGTTGCTGTAGTCAGCTACCAACAGTGGTGGTGGTGGTAGTTGTTGTAGTCAGCTACCAGCAGTGATGGTGGTGGTAGTTGTAGTCAACTACCAGCAGTGGTGGTGGTGGTAGTTGTTGTAGTCAGCTACCAGCAGTGGTGGTGGTGGTTGTTGTAGTCAACTACCAGCAGTGGTGGTGGTGGTAGTTGTTGTAGTCAGCTACCAGCAGTGATGGTGGTGGTAGTTGTTGTAGTCAGCTACCAGCAGTGATGGTGGTGGTAGTTGTAGTAGTCAACTACCAGCAGTGGTGGCAGTTGTTGTAGTCAGCTACCAGCAGTGGTGGTGGTGGTAGTTGTTGTAGACAACTACCAGCAGTGGTGGTGGTGGTAGTTGTTGTAGTCAGCTACCAGCAGTGATGGTGGTGGTATTTGTTGTAGTCAGCTACCAGCAGTGATGGTGGTAGTTGTTGTTGTAGTCAACTACCAGCAGTGATGGTGGTGGTAGTTGTTGTAGTCAGCTACCAGCAGTGGTGGTGGTGGTGGTAGTTGTTGTAGTCAGCTACCAGCAGTGATGGTGGTGGTAGTTGTTGTAGTCAACTACCAGCAGTGGTGGTAGTTGTTGTAGTCAGCTACCAGCAGTGGTGGTGGTGGTAGTTGTTGTAGTCAGCTACCAGCAGTGGTGGTGGTGGTGGTGGTAGTTGTAGTCAGCTACCAGCAGTGATGGTGGTGGTAGTTGTTGTAGTCAACTACCAGCAGTGGTGGTAGTTGTTGTAGTCAGCTACCAGCAGTGGTGGTGGTGGTGGTAGTTCTTGTAGTCAACTACCAGCAGTGGTGGTGGTGGTAGTTGTTGTAGTCAGCTACCAGCAGTGATGATGTTGGTAGTTGTAGTCAACTACCAGCAGTGGTGGTAGTTGTTGTAGTCAGCTACCAGCAGTGGTGGTGGTGATAGTTGTTGTAGTCAACTACCAGCAGTGGTGGTGGTGGTAGTTGTTGTAGTCAGCTACCAGCAGTGATGGTGGTGGTAGTTGTTGTAGTCAACTACCAGCAGTGATGGTGGTGGTAGTTGTTGTAGTCAGCTACCAGCAGTGATGGTGGTGGTAGTTGTTGTAGTCAACTACCAGCAGTGATGGTGGTTGTAGTTGTAGTCAACTACCAGCAGTGATGGTGGTAGTTGTTGTAGTCAACTACCAGCAGTGATGGTGGTGGTAGTTGTAGTCAGCTACCAGCAGTGATGGTGGTGGTAGTTGTTGTAGTCAGCTACCAGCAGTGATGGTGGTGGTAGTTGTTGTAGTCAGCTACCAGCAGTGGTGGTGGTGGTAGTTGTCGCAGTTAACTACCAGCAGTGATGGTGATAGTTGTTGTTGTAGTCAACTACCAGCAGTGATGGTAGTGGTTGTTGTAGTCAGCTACCAGCAGTGATGGTGGTGGTAGTTGTTGTAGTCAACTACCAGCAGTGATGGTGGTGGTAGTTGTTGTAAACTACCAGCAGTGGTAGTGGTGGTAGTTATTGTAGTCAGCTACCAGCAGTGGTGGTGAATCTGGTAGTAGTCAGTAGCAGCAGTAGTCGCCTACTACCATGTAGTAGCACCTTGCTACCACGTAGCACCTTGCTACCACGTAGCACCTTGCTACCACGTAGCACCTTGCTACCACGTAGCACCTTGCTACCACGTAGCACCTTGCTACCACGTAGCACCTTGCTACTACGTAGCAACACTTGACGTAGCAACACCTGACTACCACGTAGCAACACCTGACTACCACGTAGCAACACCTGACTACCACGTAGCAACACCTTGCTATCTGTCTTCCCTGATAGGCTACGAACACCTACGTACGACTTACGTCACCGCCTGTGTTTGTGCCATAGGCCTAAATTCAACACGGACAACCGTGGCAACTGCATAATTCTCTCTAGGCCTACTGTGGTAATCCTGTTACAGCCGTATAGGTCTATGGAATATAGGTTCGTTAGGTGCTCAGCAATAAGCTGTAGGCCTTTGTCCGTGATCCTGACGCACTGGCCTATGTTCAGGGTGTCTAATTCGTGTAGCGTTCGTGAAATTCTGTAAATTCCCTCGTCACTAATTTGGCAGGCCGAGCAGGAGAGGGACCTAAGGGTAAATAGGCCTTGGGAAATATGTACCAAGGCCTGGTCGCCAATTTTGTCGCAAAATGAGACGTCTAGGCTGGTTATTCTTGAGCCTCCTTCGGCTAAATAGGCTATGCCTATGTCTGAGATGTTGTCGCAGGATCTGAGGTTTAGGTCTATTAAATTAGGCATCCTGGCTAGGTACTTGACACCTGAGTCGGTGATGCTGGCGCAGAATGAAAGATTTATAGCTTTTAGGCTTGGTAGGCCTAGGGCTACATGCCGTAGGGCCTCATCTGATAGCTTCTGGCAGTCTTGTAGGCCTAGGAATTCCAAAGCCGTGGTTCCGTCGGCTGCCTCCTGGTGCTGGCCTGCTAGGTACGCTATCCCCTGATTACTAATTAGGCAGCAGGAACGCAAATTGAGCCTACGGAGTTTCTTCAGGCCCCAAGCCACCAGCAATAGGCCTGTGTTGGTGATGTAGGAACAGCCTCCTAGGTCTAAAATTTCAAGGTTCCTGAGCTGCTGGGAGATCTTCCCTAGGGACGAGTCTGATACCTGCTTACACAGGGACAGGTTAAGTTGCGTCAGCGAGGGGCACTCTGACGCAAAGGCGTGCGTCAGGCTGATGTCGGAGACGTTGTAGCAGCCGGAGAGGTTAAGTGAGGTGATGTTAGGTACCCCGCTAATGACGTCCCGTAGGACCCTCCTGAGGGAGAGAACCTGAACCTTCCTGATGCCCCTGGAACCTAACGAGGCGAACAAAGACGGGTTGGCCCTACGTAGGTGTAGTTTGGCTTCTACGCCTCTCCACACGCTCTTGCGGTACGCTGCCTCGCGCCACGTCGCGCACACCTGCGCGACGCGACCTTTGTCGCGCACGTCCAGGTAGCTGAATATTAGCGCAAGGATCTCCGGGTATAAACACGATATATGCGTGGTAGGCGGGCGTGATACACCCTCCGCGCACACCTCCATCTTGACTGACCAGAATTACTCCCGCCAGCTGTATATGGTGACTCGGGAGGGTCACGTGATCCAGGGAGAGCACGCTCATTGGTCCGCTGCTGATGTGACGTCATGCGCGGGAAATTTGAACAAAGATGGCGTCGCCCAGACGAAATGTGACTGAACGAAAACTTTTGATATCTAACGCCCAGCAAATACCTCTAGCAACCGAATTTCCATATATACCCTACTACCCTAACTGGGAAAATACTTATATACCGAAAATACGTAAACCGACACCGATATACCGGGAAATACGGTAAATAACGGAAAAGAAAACGAACGAAAACGAGTGAAAATTATCAGAAATTCTGGCCATTACCGCGGGAGGGAGAGAGAAGCCAAGAGCAAGAAGGACACAATCCTTGGGAATTTACGCAATACACTAGTTCAAACCCGTCGTGTTTGTGCCCTTCTTGCCCCCGAGAGGGAAATGAATTACACATACGGGCAAGAACGGCTTAAAGTCCGGTCCAAACAAACCCTCAAATAACATTGATTTTGACACCTAACAAAGCACTTCAGTATTAGACATAAGTACTCGATGCGTTACTTAGAGCATTAGGTAGTAGTTGAAATAGATAATTAGCGTGATGGTAGTTAAGGGTGGGCTTAAGGGGGTAAAACAGAGGGTAAGTGAAGGGGTGTGGGCAATGCCGTTGTTGCCCGCAGGTGCGTCCGGTCTTGGGGTGAGAGAGGCCAATGGAATGTGAGTGAGAGAGAGAGTGAGAGAGTGTGAGAGTGTGAGAGTATGAGAGTATGTGTGTGAGTGAGTGTGAGTACGAGTGTGAGTGAGAGAGTGTGTGAGAGTATGAGTGTGTGAGAGAGAACTTGAGAGTGAGAGAACGTGAAAGAAAGTGAGAGTCAGTGTGAGAGAGCGTAAGTCAGAGAGTGAGAGAGAACGTGAGAGTGAAAGAGTGTGGAGAGTGGGAGTGAGAGAGAGAGGGTTAAAGAGTGTGTGAGTGAGAGCGTGTGTGAGAGTGACAGTGAGAGAGCATGACAGTGAGAGTGTGTGACAGTGCGAGACCGTGACAGTGAAAGAGTGTGTGACAGTGAGAGGAGTGTGACAGTGAGAGACCGTGACAGTGAGAGAGTGTGTGACAGTGAGAGAGTGTGTGACAGTGAGAGAGTGTGACAGTGAGTGGTGAAGTGAGAGTGTGTGACAGTGAGAGAGTGTGACAGTGAGAGTGTGCAGTGAGTGTGTGACAGTGAGAGTGTGTGACAGTGGAGAGTGTGTGACAGTGAGAGTGGCAGAGAGTGTGTGACAGTGAGAAGTGTGTGACAGTGAGAGTGTGTTGACAGTGAGAGAAGTGTGACAGTGAGGAGTGTTGACAGTGAGGAGTGTGACAGTGATGTGAGTGGAGTAGATGGTGACGTGAGAGTGTGGCAGTGAGGAGTGTGTGACAGTGAGAGATGTGTGACAGTGAGAGAGTGTGTGACAGTGAGGAGTGTGTGACAGTGAGAGTGTGTGACAGTGAGAGTGTGTGACAGTGAGAGAGTGTGGACAGTGAGAGAGTGTTGACAGTAAGATGTGAAGTGAGAGTGTGGCAGTGAGAGTGTGTGACAGTGAGAGAGTGTGTGACAGTGAGAGAGTGTGTGACAGTGAGAGTGTGTGACAGTGAGAGTGTGTGACAGTGAGAGTGTGACAGTGAGAGAGTGTGACAGTGAGAGTGTGACAGTGAGAGTGTGGCAGTGAGAGTGTGGCAGTGAGGTGCAGTGAAGTGTGGACAGTGAGAGGTGGACAGTGGAGAGTGGTGTGTGACAGTGAGAGTGTGTGACAGTGAGAGAGTGTGACAGTGAGAGTGACAGTGAGAGTGTGTGACAGTGAGAGTGTGACAGTGAGAGAGTGTGACAGTGAGAGTGTGACAGTGAGAGTGTGTGACAGTGAGAGTGTGGCAGTGAGAGTGTGGCAGTGAGAGTGTGTGACAGTGAGAGAGTGTGACAGTGAGTGTGTGACAGTGAGAGTGTGTGACAGTGAGTGTGTGACAGTGAGAGTGTGTGACAGTGAGAGTGTGTGACAGTGAGAGTGTGTGACAGTGAGAGTGTGTGACAGTGAGAGTGTGACACTGAGAGAGTGTGACAGTGAGAGTGTGACAGGTGAGAGTGTGACAGTGAGAGTGTTGACAGTAGAGTTTTGTGACAGTGAGAGTGTGTGACAGTGTAGACAGTGTTGAGTGATATAGTGAGAGAGTGTGGAGTGACAGAGTGTGAGTGACAGTGTGACAGTGCGAGTGTGAGTGACAGTGTGAGTAACAGTGTGACAGTGCGAGTGACAGTGTGAGTGACAGTGCGACTGTGAGTGACAGTGTGAGTGTGAGTGACAGTGTGAGTGTGAGTGAGTGACTGTGGTGAGTATACGGTACTCACATAGTTGAGGTTGCAGGGGTCGAGTCCAAGCTCCTGGCCCTGCCTCTTCACTGGTCGCTACTAGGTCACTCTCCCTGAACCGTGAGCTTTATCATACCTCTGCTTAAAACTATGTATGGATCCTGCCTCCACTACATCGCTTCCCAAACTATTCCACTTACTGACTACTCTGTGGCTGAAGAAATACTTCCTGACATCCCTGTGATTCATCTGAGTCTTCATCTTCCAATTGTGTCCCCTTGTTTCTGTGTCCCATCTCTGGAACATCTTGTCTCTGTCCACCTTGTCAATTCCACGCAGTATTTTGTATGTTGTTATCATGTCTCCCCTGACCCTCCTGTCCTCCAGTGTCGTCAATCCTATTTCCCTCAACCTTTCTTCGCAGGACATTCCCCTTAGCTCTGGAACTAACCTTGTTGCAGACCTTTGTACTTTCTCTAATTTCTTGACGTGCTTGACCAGGTGTGGGTTCCAAACAGGTGCTGCATACTCCAGTATGGGCCTGACGTACACGATGTACAGTGTCTTGAGCGATTCCTTACTAAGGTATCGGAACGCTGTTCTCAGGTTTGCCAGGTGCCCATATGCTGCAGCAGTTATCTGGTTGATGTGTGCTTCCAGAGACATGCTCGGTGTTATACTCACCCCAAGATCTTTCTCCTTGAGTGAGGTTTGCAGTCTTTGGCCACCTATCCTATACTCCATCTGTGGTCTTCTTTGCCCTTCCCCGATCTTCATGACTTTGCATTTGGCGGGGTTGAATTCGAGAAGCCAGTTGCTGGACCAGGTGTCCAGCCTGTCCAGGTCTCTTTGTAGTCCTGCCTGGTCCTCATCTGATTTAATTCTTCTCATTAACTTCACATCATCTGTCAACAGGGACACATCAGAGTCTCCCCCTTCCGTCATGTCATTCACATATACCAAAAATAGCACTGGCCCTAGGACTGACCACTGTGGGACCCCGCTCGTCACAGGCGCCCACTGTGATACCTCATCACGTACTATGACTCGTTGTTGCCTCCCTGTCAGGTATTCCCTGATTCATTGCAGTGCCCTTCCTGTTATATGCGCCTGATCCTATAGCTTCTGCACTAATCTCTTGTGACGATCTGTGTCAAAGGCCTTCTTGCAGTCCAAGAAGATGCAATCTACCCACCCCTCTCTCTCGTTTCTTACTTCTGTTACCTTGTCATAAAACTCCAGAAGGTTTGTGACACAGGATTTGCCTTCCATGAATCCATGCTGGTTGTCGTTTATAATCTTGTTCCGCTCAAGGTGCTCCACCACTCTCCTCCTGATAATCTTCTCCATGACTTTGCATAGTATACACGTCAGTGACACTGGTCTGTAGTTTAGTGCCTCATTTCTTTCTCCTTCCTTAAAAATGGGGACTACATTTGCCGTCTTCCATACCTCAGGTAGTTGCCCAGTTTCAAGGGATGTATTGAGGATTGTGCTTGGTGGCACACACAGCATCTCTGCTCCTTCTCTAAGGACCCACGCTGAGATGTTGTCCTGACCCATCGCCTTTGAGGTATTGAGGTCACTTAGCAGTTTCTGCACCTCCTCCTCCGTTGTTTGTACGTCATCCAGCACCTGTTGGTACATTCCCCGTTGGTGTTCCCCTCTGTGCTGTCTTCTCGGAGCCATTCCTGTCTCTACTGTAAATACTTCCTTATATCTCATGTTGAGCTCCTCGCATACCTCATGAACATTACTTGTGAGTTCCCCACCTTCTTTCCTCAGCCTGAGCATCTGGTCTTTGACTGTTGTCTTCCTCCTGATCTGGATGTACAGCAGTTTCGGGTCAGACTTGACTCTCGATGCTATGTTATTTTCATTCTGTCGCTGGGCCTCCCTCCTTACCTGTGCATACTCGTTCCTGGCTCTTCGACTAATCACCTTATTTTCCTGTGTTCGTCGCCTTCTGTACTTTTTCCAGTCTCTATTGTACTTGGTTTTTGCCTCCTTACACCATCGGGTAAACCTGGGGTTCACTCTGGTCTTCCCATTGTTTCTATTGCCCTTGGGAACAAATCTTTCCTCTGCCTCCTTGCATTTTGTTGTTACGTATTCCTCATTTCATTTACCTACTTTCCTGCCAGTTCTCTGTCCCACTGGACCTCCCGCAGAAAGTTCCTCAAACCTATGTAGTCCCCCATTTATAGTCTGGCTTTTCCCATTCGACTCCTGTTACTCTCTCCACTTGTAACTACTATATATTCAAAGCACAGAACCACGTGGTCACTAGCTCCTAGGGGACTCTCATTTGTGATGTCCTCAATGTCTGAACTGCCCAGGGTGAACACAAGGTCCAGTCTTGCTGGTTCATCCTCCCTTCTCTCTCTGGTAGTATCCTTAACATGTTGGTGCATGAGGTTTTCCAGTACCACATCCATCATCTTGGCTCTCCATGTTTCGGGACCCCCGTGTGGTTCCAGGTTTTCCCAGTCGATTTCCCTGTGATTGAAATCGCCCATAACCAGTAACTTTGCTCTGCTGGAGTGAGCTCTTCTTGCCACCTCAGCAAGTGTGTCTACCATTGCTCTGTTACTCTCTTCATATTCCTCTCTTGGCTTCCTGCACTTCTGTTGTGGATTATA